GGGGTGGACTGAATGGTGGGGGTGGTAAGGGTGGATTGTTTGGTGAGGGTGGTGGGGGTGGACTGTTTGGTGGGGGTGGTAGGGGTGGTGGGGGTGGACTGTTTGGTGAGGGTGGACTGTATGATGAAGATGATGAAAGTGATGAAGGAGGATTGTGTGGTGGTGGTGGAGGTGGACTATTCGGTAGTGGTTGTGGGGGTGGATTGTTTGGTGGGGGTGGTAGGGGTGGACTGAATGGTGGGGGTGGTAGGGGTGGACTGAATGGTGGGGGTGGTGGGGGTGGACTGAATGGTGGGGGTGGTGGGGGTGGATTGTTTGTTGGGGGTGGTGGGGGTGGACTGAATGGTGGGTGTGGTAGGGGTGGACTGAATGGTGGGGGTGGTGGGGGTGGATTGTTTGGTGGGGGTGGTGGGGGTGGATTGTGTGATTGGTGTGGTGGGTGTGGAATGCTTGGTGGGGGTGGTGGGGGTGGACTGAATGGTGGGGGTGGTGGGGGTGGATTGTTTGGTGGGGGTGGTGGGGGTGGATTGTTTGGTGGGGGTGGTGGGGGTGGACTGAATGGTGGGGGTGGTGGGGGTGGACTGAATGGTGGGGGTGGTGGGGGTGGATTGTTTGGTGGGGGTGGTGGGGGTGGATTGTGTGATTGGTGTGGTGGGGGTGGACTGCTTGGTGGGGGTGGTAGGGGTGGTGGGGGTGGACTGTTTGGTGAGGGTGGTGGGGGTGGACTGTTTGTTGCAGGTGGAATGTATGATGAAGATGATAAAAGTGATGAAGGAGGATTGTGTGGTGGTGGTGGGGGTGGACTTAATGGTGGGGGTGGTAGGGGTGGACTTAATGTTGGGGGTGGTGAGGGTGGACTTAATGGTATGGGTGGATTGTGTGGTTGGTGTGGTGGGGGTGGACTGAATGGTGGGGGTGGTGGGGGTGGACTGTTTGGTGGGGGTGGTAGGGGTGGTGGGGGTGGACTGTTTGGTGAGGGTGGACTGTATGATGAAGATGATAAAAGTGATGAAGGTGGATTGTGTGGTTGGTGTGGTGGGGATGGATTGTGTGGTTGGTGTGGTGGGAGTGGACTGAAAGGTGGGGGTGGTAGGGGTGGACTGAAAGGTGGGTGTGGTGGGAGTGGACTGCTTGGTGGGGGTGGTGGGGGTGGTGGAGGTGGACTGTTTGGTGAGGGTGGACTGTATGATGAAGAGGATGAAAGTGATGAAGGGGGATTGTGTGGTGGTGGTGGAGGTGGACTGCTCGGTAGGGGTGGTGGGGGTGGACTGAATGGTGGGGGTGGTAGGGGTGGACTGCGTGGTGGGAGTGGTGGGGGTGGTGGGGGTGGACTGTTTGGTAGGGGTGGTTTGCATGGTAGGGGTGGTGGGGGTGGACTGTTCGGTAGGGGTGGTTTGCATGGTAGGGGTGCTGGGGGTGGACTGTTGGGTAGGGGTGCTGGGGGTGGACTGTTGGGTAGGGGTGCTGGGGGTGGACTGCGTGGTAGGGGTGCTGGGTGTGGACTGTTCGGTAGAGGTGCTGGGGGTGGACTGTTGGGTAGGGGTGCTGGGGGTGGACTGTTGGGTAGGGGTGCTGGGGGTGGACTGTTGGGTAGGGGTGCTGGGGGTGGACTGTTGGGTAGGGGTGCTGGGTGTGGACTGTTCGGTAGAGGTGCTGGGGGTGGACTGCGTTGTGGGGGTGCTGGGGGTGGACTGCGTTGTGGGGGTGCTGGGTGTAAATTGCATGGTGGGGGTGCTAAGGGTGCTGGGTGTGGACTGTTGGGTAGGGGTGCTGGGGGTGGACTGTTGGGTAGGGGTGGTGGGGGTGGTGGGGGTGGTGGGGGTGGACTTCCTGGTGGGGATGGATTGTATGATGAGGGTGTAGGGATAGGGGAGGAATCGGATTTTTGACGGTATGGGGGTAGAGGAGGAAGTGGGTCTGATGGTATGGGGGTAGAGGAGGAAGTGGGTCTGATGGTATGGGGGTAGAGGAGGAAGTGGGTCTGATGGTATGGGGGTAGAGGAGGAAGTGGGTCTGATGGTATGGGGGTAGAGGAGGAAGTGGATCTGATGGTATGGGGGTAGAGGAGGAAGTGGGTCTGATGGTATGGGGGTAGAGGAGGAAGTGGGTCTGATGGTATGGGGGTAGAGGAGGAAGTGGGTCTGATGGTATGGGGGTAGAGGAGGAAGTGGATCTGATGGTATGGGTGAGTTGAGTAGCTGCCAGTAACGCTCACACCGGCGACGTTTTGAAGGGGTCTCAGTGCCAGAAGATAGACCTGGATATTGGGGGTCGTGTGGATAGACGAGGATTATCTCGCGGAGGTTTCGGTTCATCGCGCTGATGCGTGACAAGGAGAGGAACCATTGGAGGCTACGGCAGGTGCAAGGGCAGATGAAAAATTATCAAGTGCTGGGTCGTAACCATGGTAACGAAGACGAACATTAATGGGAGCTGTGTCGTATCCATGGTAACGAATACGAACATTAATTGGAGCTTTTGAAGATGAAATATTTTTTTTTACGTAACAACTACACTGTGGAAAAGTTGTTTTTTTTTTTAATTAAGCCTGGACTTTTCTTAAATATATATAAAAAATTTAAATAACATCTATTCAAATAAACGCGTTATAAATATATGTGTATATTTACCAGATGTTTTCCATTTTATTAATAAAACAAACTTCATAGCAACGTTGTTAATTATAGTTGAATTCCTTGATAAACAATATTAGCAGCGATTGTTGATCTACATGTTAAACTGTTGTGTTGTCTCAGTGGTTCTCAAACTGGGAATATCATCCATAGACGGCCAGTAGGATTGTCGTGGGTTGCGATAGAGAACATGGATACATTACTTCGGCATGGGAAGGGGGGGGGAGATGAGAATTATTGAATTAGGTGATAAGATGTTCAAATAGGAACTGATCTTCGCCACCACAGATGAAAATTGTTTGTTTTAAAATGACATCATTATATTAAAATATTCAAGAACCGTAACAATTACATCGATTTGTAGTTTTAAAAATAACCAAGGCTTGTTTTATTACTATGTTTACCACAGGTTTGCCAAATAGCCGAGTTTTTTTTTGTACTAGATTTATTATATTTGAAATTTCGTCCACTTAAGGGATGTGGAAGTTATTAAAGAAACAATAAATGAAGAAACTACTGCTCAAAAATTGACAGAAAAAAATATGCATATAATACTTATGTATGAAATATATTCGACCTAATTGAAACAGTATTCAAATTATCGTGTTTTCATACACATAAAGAGAAAGAGAGAGAGAGACAGAGGGAAAGAGGGAGAGAAAGAGTACTAGAGAGAAAGACAGAACTAGAGAGAACGACAAAGAGAGAGAAACAGAGAGAAAGAGGGAGAAAGAGAGAGAGAAAGAGAGACAAACAGAATTGCAAACAGAAATTTTTTTTCCGGCACAGGAAGGCTGTCAAAATCTCTTTTTATATTTTTCGCAATACAATCCTTTATATTCGGTATACGATAAAGTAGGTAGATGTAAAACGGTGAAAATTTTCAAAATATTTGTTAATTATTGTGAACAATTACAATTCTTCCTGTGCCCACTATACACGAGCAAATAAAAACTGTGAGAAAAAAAAAACTTTTTTCTAATTTCAAATAAAACTAGAAATATTATTTATTTTTGTATCAGTATGAAGCCATCTATTATCCGAGAGTTAACTCATATGATTTTGGGATAAATAATTCAAAATAAATCTGTCATGCTACAACCTACATGAAATTGCTTGTTGTATTATAATTTGCTGTCAATACTTACTAGTTTCTAATAGTCGAGTTATCGAAACAATCGAAAAAAAATTGCGCGCTCCGACGCGCAAGCAGAAATTATTCTATTAATATCTTAAACAAAACGCATCAAGTCCCACTTTAAAAAATTTACTTTTCAATCCAAATTTTTAAAAATGCTGATTTGACTTGTGTAAAGAGATTATAAGACACTCAGAGCATCCGATTTCTAATCGCCAAAATGTATACGGATAAGAAGCGGCCTAGGTCGGTAAGTGTAACAAAAGCCAAGTCTAGCGAACCTACACGATCAGAAGAAACTATCGAAGGGCAAGGTCACAATCAAGATAATGGCCGCGACCAAGGGCAAGGTCGGAGAAAAGAAGAAAGGTAAGTGGCCAGATATTTTCATACCATTAATGAAATGTGTAATATTTTAAACACTTGTTTATTTAAGAGAAGCAAGGTAGATAACTGTTTACCAAAATATTTTTTTTAAAAACGTTACTCTTCCTAAAGTTTATATTTTATTTATTTCGGCTTCTAAAATCAATCATAGATTTTTTTTTATTTCTAAGTAAAAATAATGCAAACTCCTAAGATTTTTGTGATATATATTGAAAAAAATTCTTTCTATGCACACAGAAGTAATTTCAGCGTTTAATGTTAATTTTAGAAACAAGATAACCAATAAGTACAATACTTGTTTGCGACATTTTTCTCCGACAGAAAGGGTGCGCTTTGAACTTCCGTAGGGCGCCCTTAACATTTCCGGGTAAGGGGGGGGATATTTTATGTAAATTTTATATAAATTAAATATTGATATTTTTTCGTCTAGTTATTGATATCCCTTTGGACAGAAAGAGAAGGGGAAGGGAGGGCAATGCACCCTATAGATTCCTGAGCGAAGTACTGTTTAGGATCTGAGCGAATGTTTATTCAAGAAACCTTTTCAATATAATTTAGCAGCCGATGTTTCTATTGCCTCCAAAGAGGGTTTAGTTTAAGTGTATTTCAAAAATCGTTAAATATGAGATTTCTTATGTATAACTGAAACTCTCCTCAGGTTATGGTATAGACAGACAGACACCCAGACACATTGGGAAGTATAAAAGTATAAGCCGTTTTTTTAATGTTTACAATACCTCCTTCTTACTTCGTATACGAGAAAGTAAAATGCTTTGTTTAATTATTTTTGAAATTGTTTAATTTTTTTTAACACGTTTTTATTAACTCAGCTTCGCGTGTGTTTGTTTGTTGTTAAAATTGACATCGAAAATTAGCCCACTTCTGATTGCTCTATAGATCTGAAATTTGGCATGCAGGCTACTTTCGCCTAACAATTTCAAATGCAATCATAAAAACTAGCAATTAGAGACCGTAATTAGCTTAATTTAATTACGCCCTAAGGACCATAAAATTGAGGACATGATTTCTAAAGATACCGACAAGACTGAAGGCCTATTGACACAGTTACTTCGGCCCCAATCGATGTGATCGTATAGTGGTTAGTACTTCGCGTTGTGGCCGCGACAACCCAGGTTCGAATCCTGGTCGCTCAAGATTTTTAGTCCGTGTATCTATAAACACTTAGTCAAGTCATACTTAATCAAGTCATTGGATAAAGTAGAAAATAAACTATATAAAAAACTTTTTTTTTAAAAACCACGTTTTTCATGTGTAGCAACGGACTAAAAAGGAGAAAATAAAATACTTAAAAAAAACTTTTTAAAAAACCACGTTTTTCTTGTAGACTAAAAAGTAGAAAATAACTATTTACATACATTTGATGACAAAAAACGTGGGTCGGGCAGATGGGTCGGGAAATTTGATGGTGAACGTACCCACGTTTTTTGTCGCTACGCCTCTGCTTCAACCTGTCGTCGCTAACAAAGAAGTGACCAACTTTTAACAGTGGACAACAAACCGCATAAAATCACACTTAACGAAGCAACTTTTTTGATGCAACTTATATGAATATTGACTTGACTTGTGTAATTAAAATTTTAAGAATCTCATAACATCATATTTCTCAGAACCAAGAAGAATGTGGACAAGGAACAGTTGAGGTCGATGAGTACAACAAAACCCAAGTCCAGCTTACAGACACAAGCGAGAGAAACTTTTGAAGGGCAAGGTCACACACAGGGGAATAGCCACGACAAGGGGCAACGTCATAAAAACGAAGTAAGGTAAGAGTCATGTTTATACACAAAAAGTAAAAAAGTAATTTTTCCTTTTAATTATTTGAAATAATATTTAAATAACTGACGAAAAATACGTACATTGCTACTATGCTATATTGTGTGTTGACTTAACTAGATAAATAGATATCCACGTTTTTTAATTTCTAGTTGTTTAAATAGTTGTTTATTATCATATATGTCAGGAAAACCATTTATACTTTTTGCTTTTTGAGCATTTTATATAAAATCTTGTTACAAAAACGTTTTTTTTTTAATTTAAAATACCAATCTCAATAGTTAAAATGTTTACTACAATAGATTTGTATGACGGAAAACATTTCGCTCAACAGCTTTAACCGTATTAAATCACTTGAAAAATCAGCTTTTTGATCCCATTCTTCAAAATGTTGTGTAAAGAGATTTTAAGAATGTTATAACAACCTAATTCTCAGCGCCACCAAGAAGATGGATAAAGAGAGGTCCAGCTTACAGAATCAAGCTAAAGAAACTATCGAAGGCCAAGAACACAAACATAGTAATAGTCACGACAAGGTGCAGCGTCGTAAAATCCAAGTAAGGTAAGAATCCTGTATATTTTAATAGAACTAAAAAAGCGAGTTAAGTTTTAAGCAGATTTTAGTTAAAAGACGCCAGAAAGTACAAATTAACTGAACAATTTTAATATCCGAAACATATTCTAAAATCTTTCGTTTTTTTTTTTTTCTTGTTGGTTTTTTTTCTATGCTGTTGTAATATGTCTCAGATAATTATTATTTTTAAAGTAACAATAACGCAAATTAATAATATTTGTGTGTTGTCTGCCATAGGGAAAGATAAAACGTTTTTCTTTTTTTTCTAATTTATTTGATAATTCAGAAAAATTAATAACTATGAGGATTGTGAAAATTTTATTTAATATAAATTTATCCTGTGTGATACATAATTTTATGGTAAAAGATTCAAAATTATTCCTTTATTTATAAATCATTAAATAATCATCATAAAATTATTTTTATAACAAGCTTTTATATAATAATACGCAAAAAAAAATTTTAAAAAACTATTTCAGTAAATTATATAGTAATAAACTATTATTTGAATAACTGTTGAAATAATACCAGCGTCGCTATATTATGTATTGATTACCTTTACTAGATTAGAAGAAATGCACGTTTTTTAGCTGTTTAAATAGTAGTTTATCATATTATATTTCAAGAAAATCATTTATTATTTTTTACTTTTAGTGCATTATTATATATGAGTTGTTTTTTTTTTTTTGTTTTTTTAGTTTTTTACTTAAAATTACCAATCTCAATATTTAAAATATGTTTACTACAACAGAAATGCATAACTAAAAAGATATTGCTAAACAAATTTAACCGCATTAAATCATATTTAAATTATCAGCTTTTTTTTGGTACAATTCTTAAAAAGGTTGACTAGTGTAAAGAGATTTTAAGATATTTCTACCATCCTATTTCCTTAGCTCCAACATGAAGATGGATAAGGAACGATCGAGGTCGATGAGTATAACAAACACTAATTCCAGCTTACCGACACAAGCGAGAGAAACTATTGAAGGGAAAGGTCACAAACATGGTAATAGCCACGACAGGGGGCAACGTCATAAAAACGAAGTAAGGTAAGAATCCTGTTTATTTTAATAGAACTAAATAGCGGGTTAAGTTTTAAGCAGATTTTAGTTAAGAGACACCAGGAAGATACAAATTTACTGAACCATTTTAATATCCGAAACATGTTCTAAAACCTTTCGTTTTCTTTTTCTTGTTTTTTTTCTCTTTGCTTTTGTAATATGTCTCTGATAATTATTATTTTTTAAGTAACAATAACGCAAATTAATAATATTTGTGTGTTGTCTGCCAAGATAAAACATTATTCTTTTTTCTAATTTATTTGATAATTCAGAAAATTAATAACTATTAGAATTGCGAAAATTATATTTAATATAAATTTATCCTGTGTGATACATAATTTTATGGTAGATGATTCAAAATTATTCCTTTATTTATAAATCATTAAATAATCATCATAAATTAATTTTAATAACAAGCTTTTATAAAATAATACACAAAACAGTTTTTAAAAAAACATTTCAGTAAATTATATAATAATAAACTATTATTTGAATAACTGTTGAAATAATACCAGCGTCGCTATATTATGTATTGATTACCTTTACTAGATTAGAAGAAATGCACGTTTTTTAGCTGTTTAAATAGTAGTTTATCATATTATATTTCAAGAAAATCATTTATTATTTTTTACTTTTAGTGCATTATTATATATGAGTTGTTTTTTTTTTTTTTTTTTTTAGTTTTTTACTTAAAATTACCAATCTCAATATTTAAAATATGTTTACTACAACAGAAATGCATAACTAAAAAGATATTGCTAAACAAATTTAACCGCATTAAATCATATTTAAATTATCAGCTTTTTTTTGGTACAATTCTTTAAAAGGTTGACTAGTGTAAAGAGATTTTAAGATATTTCTACCATCCTATTTCTCAGCTCCAACATGAAGATGGATAAGGAACGATCGAGGTCGATGAGTATAACAAACACTAATTCCAGCTTACTGACACAAGCGAGAGAAACTATTGAAGGGAAAGGTCACAAACATGGTAATAGCCAGGACAGGGGGCAACGTCATAAAAACGAAGTAAGGTAAGAATCCTGTTTATTTTAATAGAACTAAAAAAGCGGGTAAAGTTTTAAGCAGATTTTAGTTAAAATACGCCAGGAAGATACAAATTTACTGAACCATTTTAATATCCGAAACATGTTCTAAAATCTTTCGTTTTTTTTTTCTTCTTGTTTTTTTTTTCATTGCTTTTTTAATATGTCTCAGATAATTATTATTTTTAAAGTAACAATAACGCAAATTAATAATATGTGTGTGTTGTCTGCCATAGGGAAAGATAAAACGTTATTCTTTTTTCTAATTTATTTGATAATTCAGAAAATTAATAACTATTAGAATTGCGAAAATTATATTTAATATAAATTTATCCTGTGTGATACATAATTTTAGGGTAAAAGATTCAAAATTATTCCTTTATTTATAAATCATTAAATAATCATCATAAAATTATTTTAATAACAAGCTTTTATATAATAATACACAAAAAAAGTTTTTAAAAAACTATTTCAGTAAATTATATAATAATAAACTATTATTTGAATAACTGGTGAAATAATACCAGCGTCGCTATATTATGTATTGATTACCTTTACTAGATTAGAAGAAATGCACGCTTTTTAGCTGTTTAAATAGTAGTTTATCATATTATATTTCAAGAAAATAATTTATCATTTTTTACTTTTAATGCATTATTATATATGAGGTTTTTGTTTTTAGTTTTTTACTTAAAAATACCAATCTCAATATTTAAAATAAGTTTACTACAACAGAAATGCATAACTAAAAAGATATTGCTAAACGAATTTAACAGCATTAAATCATATTTGAATTATCAGCTTTTTTGGTATAATTCTTAAAAAGGTTGACTAGTGTAAAGACATTTTAAGATTGTTCTACCATCCTATTTCCTTAGCTCCAACATGAAGATGGATAAGGAACGATCGAGGTCGATGAGTATAACAAACACTAATCCCAGCTTACCGACACAAGCGAGAGAAACTATTGAAGGGCGTGGTCACAAACATGGTAATAGCCACGACAGGGAGCAACGTCGGAAAAGCGAAGTAAGGTGAGAGGCCAGTTAAAAAAAGGGGTAAAGTTTTAAACAGGTTTTAGTTTAGATGCCAGGAAGCAGTGGCGTAGCAAGGTCGGGTGTCACCCGGTGCGGCACTTAATGGTGTCACCTCCCAGAGGCGTAGTGACCGTTCCCGGGGACACACTTTCAAATTTTCGATTTGCACCCCCTCCCCCTCAAACTTTTAATTTGCACCCCCCCCCCCCCGTCAAGTTTTTCTCTATATATTTTGCTATTTTGTGCCTTGGTGTCACCCCCCCCCCCCCCCGCCTCTGCCAGGAAAATATATATTAATTAAAACATTTTTAAACACAAAACATGCTC